CCCCCCCCCCCCCCCCCCCCCCCCCCCGGGATTTTTTGAGCTTCCTGCTTTGCTTTGAACTTTAGCGCATTTCATTGTGCCATTTGTGTCTCCCATTGGACTTTGATGGAGGCAATTGATAGCTAAGTTCATTCCTCAAACTCCATTTAAATGCATTGAGCAAGATTGTCCTTTTAGAAGGGCAAAATAGTACATGATTTGACATACAGACTAAATGAAGATGCTTCTTTCTGAATAGGTGCAACTAATATACTTAGGTAGGGTAGAGATGCACCTCAGAATGAGACGCAGAAGTTTTTGAGTAAAACTGATGTGAGCTCTTGCTGATGAAAGCTTATGCATCTCTGATTCAGTTAATCTATGAGGTGCACCTTGCCTGACTTCAGATTAACATGCTTACTACCTCCTTCTAATTATATTGGTATTTTGGTGGGCTTTTTTGTGCTCCCTCTTTTTTTTTGGAGGATGGCTGACAAAGTAGGCTACTGCATATGAAAGCTTATGCATTTCTGAATGAATTAGTCTATAAGGTGCCATCCTGCCCTGCCTCTTGTAAATTAAGAGATTTTTAAAAAGGAGAAATGTTCATATTTCTTGAAATATGGATATTGTTTGCCCTTTTTTCAGTTCTTAGTCAAGAGAGAGTGACAGCTCTGAGATTGACACTGTAACATGAATTATTTACAGGTGTATTTCTGTTGCATTACTCATGGTTTGCTGTGCATCTGAGTTTACTTTCTTTTAGGTATAGTTAATAATGTGCTCATTATGTATTCAGTCCCCAATTGTGGATAATTCTGCATTCCTTGCACATTTGAAGCTTCCACAGAAGTGAAAACATTTTTTTAATGGAATGACTGTAGTATGAGTCTGGGATGTGCAAATAATGCAGGAGCAGGCCTGTGGTGTTCATTTTACAAGGTGGTTTCAGCCCTGCTCATAGTTTTCAGTCACTTTTCCACCCTGTCCCCTCCGGAAAAATGGATGCCTTATTATTTTATTTCCTTCTTTCCCAGGTCTTGAGAATTTCATTCTTCATTCAGTGTGGCTTCATGTAGTTGGGAACTTCTAGATGCTTTACATTTTGTGTAGCAATGGAAAACTACTAACCATTAGCAAATCATCATTTGAATTTAGACTTTGTTTATGCCACATTTTTTTTGTCCTGCATTTAACTGGTTGCTTATGTATGTAGACCACACAATAGCTGCTATGCTGCTGCACTCTACAGTCATTGCCATGTGGTGGGAAAATGCAGGGATTTCAGCATTTCTATTGTGACATACGAAGGATATTAGTAATTTGTCTTCGTAGAGTTCCTTTCACTTAAAGATCTTGCTGTGCTTTGTGTAACCAGTGAAGACTTAGAGTGGTAGATAGATCACTGTTTTACCCACTGAACCGTGGAAATGCTAAGACCTTGCAGCAAGTCAGGGGCAGAGCCAGGTTTAAAATCTCTTATTCTATAATTGCTGGGAACATGTACATCAATGTCTGTATTGCTCTAGTAATTATAATAATGTTAAAGGGGAGAGAAGAGTAGGGCACCCTAAATGGTGCTACTGCAAGCAGAATATGAAGGCTTTTGGAATTGATGCAGACCTTTGGGAGGCCTTAGCAGGAGACAGGACAAAGTGGCACTCCCTTCTCAATCATGGAGTCCAACATCACGGTGAGAAATGGTCACTCATGTTACAACAGAAATGTGACCTGTTGGTACAGCCACCCCTAATGTCATGTACACCTGTGACCACTGTAGCAGGACCAGCAAGTCTAGCATTGGTCTTTGCAGCCACAAGAGAAGATGCACCACCAATCAAAAGAATAACTGCAATATCCACCATCACTCATTGATGAACAGATGTCATATAGATAAATATTAAGGACTCCCATTCTGATTGTACTGCAGTCATTATTTTGCATTGGTTTCAGTGCAGGCAGGATCTTGTCCTGACTAATTGATTCTTGCAAACTTTCACCTATTGTCAGTGACATGATTTGCTCCTGGAATCCATTTTCACAAGATATACGTGTATGCCTAAGTCTGGCCATGTTTATAAAACATGGCATCTTGTCTCCCAGGCTTTTCAATGACTGGCTCTAACTTTAGACTATCTGTTTACTTGCATTCAAACAGAGAGAGGTGCTTTGTCTATCTCTTCCACTTAGCAAATGCTACAGCTCATATTTTAGTCCATGCATGATGTATGTAACCTGCCAGTACTGTTTTTCTCTACTAACATTCCTAAGAACTAAAGGTATCTGTGTGATTACCGTATCTTCATGTATTAGCTGGAGATGAAAGAAATAGAAAATATTATGTGGAGTGAAACATTTCTAAATAGGGAAACATTTACAGAATATACTTATGAGGTATGCTAATAAGAGAGATGCTTGGAAAAATGCTGACAACTTTTGGGAGAGGGTGGCAGAGGAGGTTGGTCAAAATTCTGAATATAGTGATATGCATACATTGTCTTTTGAAAATGTGTGTGTGGAGGGGTGCCAAGTTCTACTGAGTAGGTCCTTTCAGGAATCTGTAATTGTTCTGCCTTTCTTCCCAGATAACCTCCTAGGGATTTCTTGGGTTGACAGTTCCTGGATTCCAATATTAAACAATGGAAGCGTGCTGGACTACTTCTCGGAGCGGAGTAATCCGTTCTATGACCGGACATGTAACAATGAAGTAGTCAAAATGCAACGGCTGACATTGGAGCACTTGAAGTAAGCTTCTATAAAGAGTGGTGAAGTGGTAGAGAAGTTGAACTATATCTTCTCTCCATTCTGGTTGAGCTTTGTCCTGTACTTTTTTGGATGCTGGTGAAAGTCCTGGGAAACATGGCAGCTATGTGCAAAGGAGTCTTGGCACATCCATATTGGGAGATGTCAAAAAGTCAGTTTGCTGGAAAGCTATTTTTTTTCTCTTAGGCAGTTGACAGAAGGATGTCCAGGAACAATGATTTAGCTGGATTTTGCAATTGGATGTTATATTTTTTGTAAGATAAGTAGAATCTAAGTTAGATACTTCAAGCTTGTCTATAGAAATATAAATAAGTATGTATATGCTATCTATCACTTACGTGGTAGTTCCCACTAACCTGAATTAGGCGTCATTATTAGAATAGCTCTCCCCATGGCTGCTATAACTTTTTTTAAATTTAGGCCACAAAGGAGATGAGCTGCATAGGCAACTAGTCACAAGTGGCTATTTATCAACATTGTGCAATTTGCTTTCTTTGGGAGAGAGCCCAGGCAGAAGTGGCTGGTATGAAGCTGCAGGCACAAGTGAAGTGCATTGACCACTGTTTGTGGATCAAAGAATGGAACAGCAGGGATCACGTAGATTAGGCAAGATGCTCATTGGCAAAGTGATGTTCATTTGCTGTGATTGGGAAGGAGCTTTTGTGTATCCCCTTACACACATTCTGGTCAGTACCATTGGTCCTTGGCTCCCAAATGTAAGCATCAGCTGTAGCTAGCTATAGTTTCCATTTGTTTATTCTTCTGTTAACCAGTTTGCCAAGAGATTGAGCTCAGGATTTCTTAACATTCTTTGAGCCCAAAGCTAGGTTTTGATGTTTAGCTTGGAAAGATTTAATGGCATGAAAGATCTCATAGCCCATCACAGTTTCCAGGCCTTGTAACATCTCATTGAGTTTTCACATCCTATATGTTCACTCTCAGATGACTAAATATATTTATTCTGGTCGCTTGCCTTTCAGTCAAATGATTGGAGTGGAGTATATCCTCCTTCATGCTCAAGAGCCCATTCTCTTCATTATTCGAAAGCAGCAAAGACAGTCTCCTACACAAGGTAAGGTTGCTCACAGTTTCTGTCTCTGATTACAGTTAGTCTTTTTTTTGTTATATTTCTGTTCTGTATGTGTGTTCATATTATTCCCCTTATCTTAAATATCTTTAAATCTAGTGTTTTATTTGAGAGAGAGTATGGATACATCTAGTGCTGTTAAAAATACTCTCTCAGCACACCTCAAATGTAATGTTGCCCCAGAAGGGTGGTCTGCACTCTGATACTAGCTTGGGATTGCCCTCTTGTGGCAAAATGCTCATAATGCAGAGAAAAGGTGCTGCTTTGCAGTATATTTTCCTGTGGGCAACTGGTACTTATTAGTATGCGCTATGCTCTATTCCTGTGCTATGCTATGCTATACATAAGACTCTTGGTTTAAATAGCTAAACATAAGGCTTGTTTTGTGCTTGCCTGAGGCTGACTAGTACAAATTGAATTTAATGGTGATCATTCCTGAGTGGTTACCATGCTGTCTGGAAACCCTTGCTTTCCATGGATTAGGGTGAGGGGAACATTTGTACTGCTAGTTGCATAATTGCATTTTTATCCTGCAGGTTTACCAACTTGAACTGTGATCTGTCAGACTGAACATGCTAAGTAGGGCCATATAAACATGGGAGTAGGAAACTTTCCAGGAAAAGCCAGGTTACTACAGATTTGAGTGTTGGTGATTTAGCAAGTGACAGAGTTCAACTTGAGTCAGTACTGAACCAGGACTCCATTGCAATGTTAGATGGCATTGAGGTATTGGAGATTGTGTAGATATAAAAACTAACACTTCAGGTTATTAAAGAATCCCATGGCATCCTAAGCAAGAGGAAAGAATTTACCTGCACCTTGCCAAAGGTCCACATGAAATAACTGCATTCCCCTCTCTACCCTCTTCCCTCTCTCCCCCCCCCCCCGGCCCCAGTCACATACAGCTGGATTTTGTATTCCTTGTTCTAAATTTGCTTGTAGCAGTCTTCTGATAGTTAACTGCAGGGTGAACTGTGTTCTGCATTTACCATACATAATCTGTAAATCACTTTGGGATCATTTAGAATAAATGTTTTAGGAATGAAATATACAGGCAAGGTAAAGAGCCTTGGCTGCCCAGGAGCGGGGAGTGGGATGATGCATGTCTCTCGGGCATCTCATCAGTTTCTTCAAATGAATGCTTTTGCCCCATTTGCTGAGACCTCTACAGCTCCTCCTCCTTCATTTGAAGAAACCAACAAGATGACAGGGACAGGTGTTTAAAATGCTCCTATCCCAGCAAAAACCGGATGTATGGTTACATTAGAACCTCTACTGTGTCTCAAGGCAGCTTGTTCCAGTGCTTTACCTCCCTCACACTGAGACATTTCTTCCTAATCCAATCTAATTTTCATTTGTTTCAACTTCAGATCCTTCCTACTTATCTTATCCCCTGTGTATCTCCCCATGGAGAATAGTCAGGCACCATTCTCTTTCTATATGGTATCACATTCCCTCTCAGTTTTATCTTCTCCAGACTAAATGATCCTAGTTCTTTCTAACTTTCTTTGTAAAACATGTTTCCTGGACATGTATCCATTATCCTGGTTGGGACTGCAGTGGCTCGTGTCTGTACCAGCACTGTCAGTCTCAATGCATGTGATGACTTTCATCTCCCAGGTAAGTCTAGACTCTCCAAACTAGCTCTGGGGGATTAATGACCAATAAAAAGGAATAAAATGCATCTGTTCCAGAGCAAGCAGAAATTAGACTCCTCCCTTTGCTTCAATTTAGCTGATTCTTGGGCCACAGAGTTGTTTTCACTTTTGACCTGAAAAGGAAGCTTTGCAGAGTGTTTCTGTCAGACAGATCTGTGAATAAAAATCTAGGGAGTAGCTTTAGAGACTTATAGCTGCAACCTTGTCCTTCCTGGCTTTAAAAGTTTAATTACTCCTTATTAGAACAGCACTAAGGGAACAATATAAAATGGGAAGCCCTAATAACATGTGCTGCTGTTCTGTAGAAAATGACAGTGCTTTGCTGCTTAGTTTTTGGGAAGGCTGGGAATCTGTTTTTCTTTCTCACTAGCTTACATTGGGTAAACCTTTGTCTATGCTGGAATAGCAGTGGAGGCCAGAGGGCAGGTTCCTTTCCTGTGGCTGCCTCCAGGGCAGTACCTGAACAAAGCTGGATGCGACATCTGTGAGGGGGCACCGAGGAGGAGCTTTTGCCCTTAAACACGTTGGGGCAACTGTTGGTATTAGATTTATGACCCAGATACCTTGTTCCGGGCAAACCCAAACCCTCAGACCAACCGCAACCTTTTCATTTGATGATACAGGCAGTCCTCAGACTTACGACACAATTGGTTCCTGAAAGCCGGGTCTTAAGTCGAAACATTGTAACTCGGAACCAATTTTCCCATAGGAAACAATGTTATCAATGGGTTCCTGAACGAAGGCCCAATACCCTATTTTCACCAAAGATAGCCCAGAATTTTGTACTCAGTCAATCATAGATGAGTAATATAGCTACATTAATGTATTTATATTGTAAATACCAATCATTGATTTGAAAGGACTTCTTTGAGGTGATTTTGCTGGACTTTTTGAAGGGCTCTTGGTTGGACTTTTTGAAGGGTTCTTGGCTGCAGGTTTTTTTGGAGTATTGACTGCTTTCTTAAAGAAAGCGTCCAAAGAAGTTTGGACAGGTGTTCTTCAGGGAGATGGACGACACAGTGAACTTGTTTGCTTATGTGGTGTTGCGTTGTAAAGTCGAAACTGACATCAGAAAGTTGAAACGGTGTCAATTTATAAACATTGTAACTTCAAACACTGTAAGTCAAGGACTGCCTGTAGGCAAATTTTATTGATACACAATGATACCAGATAAAAATAATGCAAGCAAGGCAAACAAAATACTTCCCCCCATTTTATATCTACAGGTCCTAGGGTGGTCACCAGGGTGGATAAAAATCAACATATTTTTTTTTTGAAAAGTTGGATTTTTTTTATGTAAATCGGATTTTTTTTATTTAATCGGAATTTTTATTTTTTGTTGAGATGCTTTTAAAAAAACAGCAAACTTATACAGGCAGTCTTCGACTTACAACATTTTGAGTTACAAAGTTTTGCGTTTACAATGTTTATAAATTGACACCGTTTCAACTTTTTGATGTCAGTTTTTGACTTTATAACTGCTTGTAAATTGGTTCCAAGTTACAACGTTTTGACTTAAGTGTTATGAATTACGCTCTTAATGCCATGTGCAGTTAGCTCTAGGCTGGGGCAATGATCACGCAGAGGAGGTATCCAAAGTCAGATACAGAATCTTTATTCACTGCAGTGAGGTGCCTCCGAGGAGAGACCTCGCCTACCAGTTATAATACTATTTTATACCTTGTTAGTATATCAGCATTAGTTCGTGATTGGCTCGTGCTTGTAAGAATACCCAATCATCTACTAACTAAATTACTATTCTATCAATCAAGTGACATTGTGTGTGTGAACACTGAAGTTTAACTCTCGTGACTGCATGTTTTATATATTCTTGCCAAGCAGTCTGCTTGAAAGAAAACAATTTTTGTACTGCTTTCAAGGTTTTTCTGTTGACGAGGCTCCTCTGTTGACCGGATTCAGCTAGTTTCATATCTTATCAGTAAGCCTTTACGCAGCACTTCTCTTCTCACCCGTCTAGTATGTGCTGTGTCCGCTTCTATGTATTGAGGTTAAAGGTAAAAGAAATGGCCTTACTTCTATATTGCAAAATCCACACACAACATTAAGACATGGTTTTCGGGAACCAATTGTGTTGTAAGTCTGAGGACTGCCTGTATAAAGATAGTTTTAATCTGAGATATAGTTTCATAGTTTCTAGGGTCGGAAGGGACCTGAGCAGATCATCAAGTCCGACCCCCTGCCATGGCAGGAAAGAGTACTGAGGTCAAACGACCCCAGCAAGGTGTACATCTAGCCTCCTCTTAAACACCCCCAGGGTAGGAGCCTGCACCACTTCTCTTGGAAGTTGGTTCCAGATCCTAGCCGCCCTGACTGTGAAGTAGCGCCTCCTGATATCTAGCCTAAATCTACCCTCTGTCAGCTTATGACCGTTATTCCTAGTCACTCCTGGTAGTGCTTGGGGGAACAGGGACTTCCCCAGTGCCTGCTGGTCCCCTCTGACTAGTTTGTAACAGGCCACTAGATCCCCCCCCATCGGCCTTTTCTTGTGGAGGCTGAACAAGTTCAGGTCCCGTAGCCTTTCTTCATAGGGCCTGCCCTGCTGACCCCTGATCATGTGAGTGGCCCTCCTCTGGACCCTCTCCATGTTGTCCACATTCCTCTTGAAGTGCGGCGCCCAGAACTGGATGCAGTACTCCAGCTGCAGCCTGACCAGTGTCGCATAGAGGGGGAGTATCACCTCCTTGGACCTGCTTGAGATGCTAAAGCTCAAAGATATCATCATGGAATAGGGATTATAACTTCTAATTATATACTGTTTAAGACAATATTGCTGGATAAAGTATATGAGAGAGAAATTGTACAGTGTGCAGAAAGTCTAGAGGGGATGATTGTTAACCTGAGTCTTGATGGGTGGAACAATGTCCACAATGATCCAGTAATATGTGCTTGTGTGACAACAGAAGAAGAGACTGTCTACCTTACAGAAACAATTGATACATCAGGAAATGCACACAGCAGAATACTTACAAGTGATAGTAAAAGCTATAAAAAACTGTGAAAAAAATTTCAAATGTCTAGTACATAGCAGTCACAAACAATGCTGCAAATGTATCAGAGATGAGAAGAAATCTAGAAGAAAGTAAAGAAAGCCCCTAGCTAATAATATATGTTTGCTCACTTGATGTACCTCTTAGCCAAAGGTTTCAGTGTTCCAGAAATAAAAGCTAATGTTGAAATTGCAGAATACTTCTCTAACAACCACTTTGCAGCAGCTGCTCTGAAGAAAGCAGGAGGAACCAAGCTAACTCTCTCAGAAGATGCGTGATGTAACTCAGTAGTGGACTGTTTTGAACAATATATTGAGAACTCACCTAATCCGATGACTATTTGTGAACAAAATTGTGACCAAATAGATGGAACTGACACAGCCAGAGTTCTCAAATTTGGGCTAAAGTGAAATGTAGAACATATGCTGGCTATCTTGAAGCCTGCTTCTGTAGCCTTGAATGACGTGCAGGGAAATCGCTATTTTATTGCTGATGCTATTGAAATTTGGAAGGAACTGAGTGAGACCTTGAAAAGACAAATACACAATGACAGAGTTAAATTACAGGCAATTAAAAAACAAATGGATCAAGCACTATCTCCAGTTCATTTTCTTGCCAGTATTCTCAATACCCAGTACTAGGGTCAGTTTTTATCTACTGAAGAGGAGGAGTGGGCTATGACATGGGCATCCAACAATCATCCCTCCATAATACCAACTACAATAAAGTTCAAGCCTAAGGGTGAACTGTTTAAAAATATGTATGTTTGCTGATGAGATTTCAAACAAAGTCACATCAGTGAACTGGTAGAAGTCACTTAAGCACGAGGTGCTTGCCACCTCCCCCCTGCCAGCGGCGGTGTCTGCGGGAGTTCCCCTGCTTACCACAGCTGTGCTCCCGCTGCTGCTGCCATGCCCCCACAGCCACTGGGGTCACGTGCTGTTCATGTGTATAACCCAGTATTTTAAGTTTCTCATGTTAACCTGGCTGAAATAATCTATTTAATTTTTATTAAAAACACATCTCACAGAACTAAAATAGTTAAAAATTCAAAAATACATATACTTGTTTTGTTGAAATAATTATACATGTTTGCTGTTGAAGAAAAATATCCAGAATACATAAGAATGTTGTTTTACTAAAAACAATTTAAATATCATAATTCAGCTTTCTGATGTTGCTGCAAAATTAATCTGCAAAAATATCAAAATAAATTACTGCTTTAAAATGTATACGGTGTACCTTCTAAAAATTAAACCTACATCTATCTCTGAGTTGTGAGTAATATGTATTAAGGTTATATCAAACAGCAAGAATGCACTTTTTGTAGAAAGCATTGATTAAATTGAAGCTTCCTGACTAGTGGTTTAAATCATAATTTAAATTGATTTGATTTAAATCAAATCCACCCTGGTGGTCACAAAGGGAAGGCATGTCTTGGCCATTTTGCAAGTTTTACCCTGTGGTTTTCTTTTGAACGTTAGATGTCAGCAGCCTGGAGGTCAAGGGCAGAGGCCCAACCCCCACCAGTGGAGTGGGTGAGATGGGTTGGTGGTTCTCCCTTTGTTCATGGTGGCCTTGGGTTTCCCCCTCAGGGACCCTTTTTGCTTGTCTGAAATCCTTTCTTTTGTATTTTTTTCCTCCTCTGATGACTTTTTATTTCCAGGCATTGCTGATTGGTTTCCCCGTGGAAAACCACATTGTCCACTTTCTATATCAGGATATTCTTTTGTTTCCAAAAACCCATTACACAAACACATTTGAATTTGGTCATTTACTGGTATTTTAATTTGGTTTGTTCACCAAAACCAGAAATTCCAAGGGCTCTGCAGCTGGTCACTGGGACCTAGCCAATGAGGCAGAGTCCCTTATTTCATATTATGGAACAGTATGGTACATGTCTTTAATATCCTAGCCTGTGTATGCCCGCTTGTCTGTTGGCCTTAGACACAGTGTCTGCTGGTACCAGACGCAGTGGGCCTTGAAGGAAACTGTGTCACAAGCAGGCTTTTAGAAACCAATTAAATCTTGCCATTCCCCTGAACCATTGTTCTAATCCAATATCTACTTTACCTGTAAGCCAGTTCCTAAAAGCAAACCTCTGAATATTATTTTTTAGCCATAAATCCCCTTCTTGAAGGTCTTACACCTTCACATTATAAATGGAGCATAATTGAGGGAAATACCTGGAATGTTTATTGGGGTTGCAGGGAAGACCTCCACCAGTCATTCTGGGAAAAGCATCATGGTATTTGTGATCAGGGGCTTCAACGGGCTGGACATTGTGATGAATCCTTAACTGTTGTCCAAATGTTGCCTATGCCCAATTTGACTTGTTTTTTGCCTTGGCATGTCCTAACCCAGCAGCCGAGTTTTAGCCAGTTAAGTTTAAACAGACCTTTTATGCTGGGGCTGGGGAATGCATGGCCCGAGATGCCATTAAACCTTTTCCTCAGCATTCCAGGTAGCACTCCACTCGGCAATTAGTAGTTCATCTCATTGTCAGGATGGCTGTTTAGGTCAGGGAAGCATTCCTTGGTTAGAATCTTTGGGGACTGGACACGTTCCTAGTAATTTTACCTCTCCTGTACAACCAGATGCTTGGTGCCATTATAGCACTACCAGTGCCCCTATGTCCTGCAAGAGCCTGTAGAAATGCCAAGGTTAGACCCTTTCTGTGCAAACTACATGCCTGGTTTTCATCAGGATGCCACCATTTTACTCCCTGTTCTAGATCTTCTCACAAATTTTGGAAATTAGTGAAGCTACATTGCATTACTATTTTACTATAAAATGCTTAAAATACATATTTAGCACAAGCAAAATAAAACAAACAAAAGGATGAAAATAAAAGCAAATGGCTAATTCAGCCTTTTTTTATTTTTGGCATGACTGAACTTTGAGGCCCCGGAAGTGATGTTTCATATGATGCAACATTTTTTGTAGCCACTTTGCAGATATTTCATAGCCTATTATGAAGTTCTGCTTTACATTTTATTGTCTAGCATAGCTAATATTATAACCACGTTACACAAGCACAGCCAAATAAGCAAGACAATTGAGCTCAATTTTTATGTTTATTTTTTGTACCAAACAACTTTTTGATACTTCGGCAGTGGTTTACATCCTGCAAAACACAAAGACAAAAGGGAGACTAAACAACCCCCTTTAGATTAGTTCAGGTTATGGAATTATTTTTGATACTGTTTGGCTTTGTTTACTATAGGCCCTGGCCCTTGTCATTTAGGCCTTTTTTTTTAGTAGTGTGGTACATTATTTGATTTTTTTAAGTGACAGGTGCTCCAAGCACCCTGCCACACACTTTCTCTTCTGGGCCTCCACCAAGGGGTTTTTTTGTTGGGGTATGCTCCCCCTAGTCTTTTTTCATTAAAGGGTGACCCACAAGGCAGTGGGAGCTAACCTTTCCCTGGGGTGGCAACATGTGGCATTTTGTAGAGAATACCCCACCAGAGATAGCTTTACCACATTAACCAGTCCTAGGAGGGTGTAGTTTCCATGTGTTACCCAGGACTAATTTTCAGGCTTTTCTGTCCTGATCATTTTTACCCCTCATGGGCATTGTCTCTCACTTATGGGTTTCCTGGCCCTTTTACACTTGGGCTGTGCCTACACAGGGACCGTTGGCCTATTCATTTTAAGACGCTGGCCCCACCTTGGGCCAGTTGAAATCTCAGGCTCCCCCAGCTCTGGCAGCTTTAGCAGTGGTCTTTTTCAACCTTTGTCCCTTCCTTACTCAGAGCTGTGCACACAGACCAAACAGATACTGTGTTCCTTGTTTACAGTTATCCCACTAGCCGATTACTACATTATTGCAGGCGTGATTTATCAGGCACCTGACTTGGGGTCCGTCATAAACTCCAGAGTGGTGAGTGTTTTTTATATGCATGTGACTGGTATAAAGTTGTTCACATCTGTTTGTCTTTAAGCCTTTCCCTGGTCTGATTTAAGGTCTGATTTTTTTCTTTTTTTTTCTTTTCCATTTTGGGAGAAGGGCCTATGCTGTATAAATAGGGACCTACGTAAATCACGGTTTCAGAGATTTTGCAGAAACTGAAAAAAACAGCATTATCCATGATCCCTGGGTAATCGGGCATTGGCTGCAACTTCTCACAAAATCAGCCAAAAACCAAAACACTAGTAATGACATAGACTGAGTGAAGGTGCTCTCTGCCAATCAGCAGCGAGGGGTGGGGCCACTGGGCCCCTCCACCAATCAGTGGGGGGCGGGGCCACCATGGAATGCCTGTGAACTTGGCTGTGTGCACCACAAGTGGACCACAAAAAACCTTGTTATCTCACTGTGACTTGGGTAGATCCCTATCTAAAGAATGACTAGTTCTGTTTTTAAGAAACCTGATTAACAGTATTGAGTGCTGAGTACCCTGTGTTTAGATGAAGATGGGATGTTTCTAGAAGAGTGTAGTAAGCTCTGATAGCTTATGATAGCTACGATGAGATGACTTGTTAGGGACAGAAGGAAAGAAATAAAAGTTAAAGCAGGACAGTCAGAGGGAGTGTCTCAGGTTAAAACTAAAAAATTATGTTAAAATATGATTTTCTTTTTTGAGGATTTGCTAATAAAAACAAAATTGAACTGAAAGATGTTAAAACAGAATTTGCATTGCACTTAGTGCTGTTTGGTTTATTTTGACACTCGGCTTGGCGAGAACATCGCAGCTAGACTGGTTGTTTTTGCCTCCTGCCTCTCATGCTGTATTATAGTGTTGCAACAGTCCTACCAGATAGACAGATTTTCACCAGCTGTTCTCCAGGGGATAGATGTACATAACAATTACACCACTTTAAAAGGGGGAGGAGAGGGCTTGCCATGATTCAACTGAATCTGCCAGTAGCATTTCATCTGTCTGCTCCCATTTTATGGGAGGTGGAAGTTAAATCTGTGCAGCTTACCTCTATATCAAACAGGGTTAGGTTACTGCAGCATAGGAGTAGACAGACGAAACAAGTACAGTGAATCAGAGGACACAGGCTCACAAGTTGTAAGTCCCCTTTCTCTTTAAAGCATAGATTCATAAATTATAGAGTCAGAAGGGACCCAGTGGATCATCGTGTCCAACCCCCTGCCCCTGGCAGGAAAGACCACCAGGTCAGATGACCACAGCCAGGAGATTGTCAAGCCTCCTCTTGAAGACCTCCAAGTTAGGTGATAGGACCACCCCTCTTGGAAGCCCATTCCAGACTCTGGCCACCCTTATTGTAAAAAAATTTCTTCCCAATATCTAACCTAAATCTTCTCTCTGCTAGTTTGCACCCATTATTCCTAATAACTCCTTGGGGCGCTCTGGTAAACAGCGCATCCCCAATTCCCTGCTGTCCTCCCCTGATAAATTTATAGGCAGCTACATGGTCACCCCTCAGCCATCTTTTGTATAGCCTGAAGAGATCCAGATCTCTCAACCTCTCCTCGTAGGGTCTTTCACGGAGACCACAAATCATGCGAGTGGCCCTCCTCTGAACCCTCTCCAGATCCTCCGTATCCCTCTTGAAGAGCGGTGCCCAAAACTGGACACAGTGCTCCAACTGCGGTCTGACCAGTGCCTCATAGAGGGGAAGCATCACCTCCCTCGATCTGTTGGTCATGCATCTGCTAATACACGACAAGGTGCAATTGCCTTTGTTGATGGCCTCGTTATACTGCTGGCTCATGTTCATCTTGGAGTCAAGTATGACTCCAAGATCTCTCTCAGCCTCAGCTGCTGTAGGTGTGCTGGGGATTCCTCCTTCCTAGGTGGAGTACCTTACATTTAGCTTTGTTGAATTGCATCCTATTACGTTTTGCCCATTGATGTAACCTGTCCAGGTCAGCCTGTAACTGCCCTCTGGAGAATTAACTTTGCCCCATAATTTGGTATCATCCGCTAACTTGGAGAAGGTACTCATCACACCCTCGTCCAAATCGCTGATGAAGATATTTAATAACACCGGCCCAAGGACCGAACCCTGCGGGACCTCACTACCTGCCTCCTTCCAGGCTGAGAATGACCCATCAACCACCACTTTCTTGGTGCAGTCGCTAAGCCAGTTAGCCACCCACCTGACTGTGTAGGTGTCCACTTCACAGCCTGTTAGCTTCCTTATGAGAATAGGATGCAAAACAGTGTCAAAGGCCTTCCTAAAATCCAGGTAGATGACATTGGCCTCCGCTCATGTGTCAAGGCAGTATGTGACGTGGTCATAAAAGGCTATAAGGTTTGTCAGGCAGGATCTACCTGTGATGAACCCGTGCATGTGATTATTTGTCTATCCACACCCTTGATCAGTATAAAAAAAAACCAAAATATTTGAATGTGTGTTTGTAAAAGTTTCTGTTATAAACAAAACCTGATGTTTTGATGCCAAACTAACTGTTCCATGTTTCTTTCATAACTTTGATAATGTTATTCCATAAGAAACTTGAAAATTTTTGCTTGATAAATGGAAAAGCTATTTTAATAGCAGAACAATATTATTCCATGGTACGGTTCTTTGTTCATTTACCAACATATATTTAACATGCTGCTTTCAATGCCAGGCACTATATATGTGATAGAATCTAGGAATAGAGTTTCCTATTTGCTTATATTTATATACTATTTTGTTTAAACCCTGAATATTTCCTTATGCGGACTCCTTCTGAAAGCTCACTGCAGTGCATGGAATTCAGTCTGCTTTTGAAGAAGCTATGGCTTACTGCCGATATCACCCTTCCAAAGGCTACTGGTGGCATTTCAAAGATCAGGAAGAACGAGGTATGAAGCCCAGCCTTTCAGTCATGAAGCAGCTCTCCCTTTTTTTGGACTTTGAAGTAAAGCACCCCAAAAAATGCTTCTATAACTTCTGGTATATTCCCATTAGTATAGGCATGGAGAAGAGAAAGGAACATGAGGAG